ATAATACAAAAACACATAAAAGCAAGCATAGGTGCCCTGGAAATGGAAGAGGTAACGTGTCCCTTAGGGAGGAGAAGAACCCGGGTATCTACAGCTGTACATTTGCCTCTGGGGCCCAGTGTCTGCCGAGTTCTGAGGCCAGTGACCCAGCGCTGACAAGAGGCTGCCTGGCCGAGGAGCCCTCCCGGGGCCCCCTTCACGTCCTTGTTCCTCAGCCTGTAGATGAAGGGGTTAAGCACTGGAGTGACCTCAGTGAACAGCCCACCTCAGCTAGTCAGCACCTGGACACCACCTGTATGTACACGGACATTCTTCACTCTCTGTTCGTCCTTCAAATGCCAGTCACTCAGTCAAAAGGGAGCCTGTTTTCACTTTAAAGGCATTTATCCTTTTCAAAATTTAGCAGAAATTTTTATCTTCTACACACTGGTTGTAATTGTGTTTAAAGCTATAGATGTAACTTGACTTCTATGATACGATGCTTCTAAAATAATTGAAGGCATCCAATGTCTGTTCTTTGATCATCTCCATGCTTCCTTCATTTATACAGCTCTATGATAGTGATTAAGAAGTGGATTCTCAAACCACCTTGAATCATGATGTTTGCTACTGTTGTGACATGACAGCTCTCTCTCACATGCCCTTTTCTTTCTGAACAGGTGGTGACTGCTCTCACCTACTAAGTTATCACCTACTAAGATTCAAATGCCTTTGTATGCATTAGGATATCAATCAATTATAGCTATTATTATAATTAATATCGCTAATTTATTCCATTTATGAAAACTGTTCCTGATATACAGCTCCCCCGAATTAGAAAATGGGACCTTGAGTCAAACATCCTGGGTAGAATTTTGTTCTGCCAACCTACTCTCTGTGTGACCATGACCAAGTTATTGAATCCCTCTTAGCTGCAGAAACGTCACATCTAAAATGGGAAAAGTAAATATTCCCCACATTGAAAGACTGCATTGAATGAGGTGACGCATTTAACTTTTCTAGTGTAGCTCCTGTGACATACAGTGGACACCTGGGAAACAGGAGCTTCTGTTCTTAACGTCACAATAACCTGAATTATATGGCTATTATTCATCTATATATCCTTGAAGCTGGGGCAGCCATCAGTGGGGGGATTCTGATCATTATAGACACAACAGTCTGTTACCTCTTCTGACTGCCATGCAGCACTTCTGGTCAGTGAAGGTCTCTACAGCTCCCTCCCAGGACCACCTGCCAGGTGGATTCTTCTAAGAAGAGGGCAGAGCATGGGGACTACATAGATAATAGGAAGGAAAAAGACACAACCATTTAAGTAAAATACAAAGTATGTGTGGGAATGTGTTTCTGTGTACCTGCTCTCATGTGGGAATGTTTGTATTAAAATTCAGGGGTGATAATTATTATAATTCCCCAACTCGGGCCTCAGCGACAGAACCACTGGGGAGGAGGGTGCCTGCAGGCCTGCAGGGAGGAGTTCCCCAGCCAGCCTGACCTCGGGGGTGCGCTGTGGACGCAACCCCCGGGCTGTGTTCCCGCAGACGGGGAGCCCACGCGGGCCTCTGGGCCAGTTTCCGCGACCGCGAAAAGGCACTCCCGCCTCCTATGCCTGAGGTCATTATTCGAGGGGTGGCAGATGGGGAGAAATGGGAGAGGAAAATATGAGAGGCGAGTGAGACCTGGTGCACCCCGGCCCCAGGAGGTTGTACTACCAGTCCCGCCCAGTCATTCCCGAGAAAGCCTCCCTAGTGGGGAGAAGAAAGTGAAAAGTAGGGAAAACACGTTACTGTGTGTGCTTGTGTGTGTGTGTGTGTTTGTGTGCGTGTGTCTGTGTGCGTGTGTGTGCGCGCGCGCGCGTGTGTCTGTGTGCGTGTGTGTGCTTGTGTGTGTGTGTGTATGTGTCTCTGTGTGTCTGTGTGTCTGTGTGCGTTCGCGCGCCTACACAGACACTACACTGGCTGAAACTTCCCCGTTCAAACAAGCTTGAACCTCAGTGGAGCTGAATTGTCTGCAGAGCTCAAAGGCAGTGCGACAATTTGTTTAATGACGGGCTCTGAGAATTCAGCCGCGGAGACACTAATGACTTGTCCCTGCTGTCCCTGACATATAATTCTCTGGTGCCAACTGAGGTGCCAAGGCACAAGGGCTTCCCCAGGACGTCCTGCAGTCGCAGAGAGCTCCGGGGCTGACCTTCAGCGGGGGCCCCGTGAGAGCAGGTGGAGCGAGACACAAAAAGGGAGAGAACGTGAGTTCGGAGCTTCCCTTCTGGAAAACTGAGACTGGGGCAGCCCCATGTTCATTTGGTCGACAAAGTTGAAGTCCCTCTTCTCTGAAGCTACTTTTGTTTAAAAAACATTCTTCTCCAGCCCTTGTTCTTTTCCTTCTTTCTTCTCATTGAATCTAGATCCTCTCTTACTAGAGCGATTTTTCTGGACACTTTCTACCGCTCCCCACTCTTTCCCACCTTTTTAGGCTGGTCTTAGATTTCATGTGGCCAATATTTTACTCACTTACTACTCACTGGAGATCTATGATACACCAGGTATTGTCTCTTTTATTCCTAATGCGATGTGATATTTCTATTAAATTATATTGTTTTTGCTGTTCTTGATGCAGATTCGACTTACTGATTGACACCTAATAGTTCTGTATAGTTGCTGTTTCACATTAATGTCCACAATATTCTCTACAAATAGTGTATATGTCTGATGTTTGCTACTCAAGCTAATTTCCTTTCCTCATTTTAAAAATCTCTTTAAATACTCAAGGGCATATAGCAGGATTGAAGTTGGGTAGACAGCCTTGGGCTGTTCATGAGCTTGACACAAATATTTAGTGTGTTAACGTAGAATATCCTGCTGTCTACTGTTTTAAGACAACCATTCTTTGCTGGGTTTGGAGATTGTCCTTATTTCCTCATTCAGTGAGAGGCTCTGTCCTGGCCACTAAGCAAGTAACGGCTGTTACATTTTCTCAGAAGCATTTTCTATTTTGATTATGGTTATAATTTCTTTCAGTGACTTGTTTTGTAATGAATTATGTGAGCAAACGTTCTAGAATTGAACATGCTGCCCATGCCTAGAATACTGGTCATTCTGTTCTTTATGATTCTTTTCAAGTAGATATAGATGCATCTTACTTAACTTGACTATTCTACTTTGTGTCTACATTCAGGTAGATGATGAGCTTGAAGATTGCTTTTCTGTGTTAAAGTTCATTGCGCTTTGGGTGTCAGTCTTTATTGTACATCTAACGTGCACACGCTGAGCACACACTAGATGCCAGGCAGCACATAAGTCCCTGCAAAAAGAATGCTGAGCAAAAACAGACTCAACCTCTGACCCACAAGTAAGAACTGAATCGCCCACAGGAGACGCACATCAAGGGACAGCCCTGGAGGCCCGGCCAGGTAGGCTGCTGCAGGGTCCCTGCCGGCCCCACACTCTGCTCACGTCGTGCCAGCCCCTCGGTTCCCTTCCATCACCGAGCTCACCAACCCACAGGGCAGCTGCAAGTTCTGTGCCCCGAATGCTTGCCCTTTATTTCCCCTGACGAACAATTTCCCATCCTAATCATCACAGCACAGTATTCTTCTCTTACTGAAGTAGTCTAAATACTTCTTTTCTACCCACCTCTTCTGACTGAATTAGTCCTCAGTGATATTGTCCTCTTTAATTAACTGCATTCTGTGGACATTAGTAACACTGGCCTTTTCCCATAATAGACAGTGTAGATATTTTCTTCTTAAACTTGCCTTTAAATTTTTCAAGGACGGTTTGATTCAACAGCAGCTTTGAATATTTTAATCAAATTGATCAGTCTTTTTAAAAAATAATTAACTTCCCTGAATTGTAATACTAACATCCCCACATGAGAGTAGGTACACATAAACATACTCCCACACATGCTTTGTATTTTACTTTAATGACTGTGTGTTTTTATTTCCTCCTCTTATCTACATAGTCCATAGGCTTTCCCTCATCTTGGAAGAAACCACCTGGCAGGTGGTACTGGGAGGGAGCTGTAGGGACCTTCACTGACTAGACGTGCCGCATGGTACTCAAAAGAGGTAATGCACCTGCTGTGTTTATAATGATCAGAATCTCCCCTTTGATGGCTGTCCCAGCTTCAAGGAAATATTGATAAATGGTAGCCATGTAACTCAGGTTTATTGTGACAGCTCACACTTATGGAATATACAATAAATGTCACAGGAACCACACTAGAGAAATTTCATGCATCACCTCATTCAATTCAGTCTTACAATGTAGGGAATACTTACTCCTCCCGTTGTAGAGGTAACGTTTCTTCACCTAAGTGGGAATAAATAACTTGGTCGATGTCACACAGAAGGTACATTGCTGGCTGAAAATTCTATCCAAGAAGTCTGACTCAAGATCCCATTTTCTAAATGACAGCTCTGAACTGTACTTTGAAAGAGCTGTTTATCAATAACAATTTTTGTAAATGGAATAACTTAACAATGACATAGCAATAGTTATTTATTATTATTTTTGAGTCCTCACAAAGTAGGTGATAGTAGACACTGTTTATGAATAAAAAATTAAGGCACTTGAGAGATAGCTGTCATGTCACATCTGCAGGAAGCATCCAGTCATGGATAAAGGTTGTTTGGCAATCCACCTCTTAGTAAGAATAATAGAGCTGTTTAAATGAAGGAATTATGGAGATTATCAAAAGACAGACATTAAATGTCTCCAGTTATTTTGGAAGGGAGATACCATAGACAAAATTGGCTTCATCGATAGCTTCAAATACAATTACAACCAGTGACATAAAATGCAATCTCTGCTATATTTTGAAAAGGATAAATAATTACCTTAAAAATGAAACCAGGCTACCATTTGACTGAGTGAATCACTGGCACTTGGACCAATAGAGGGTGAAGGATGTCCATATGCAGGTGGTGACCTAGGCTGAAGGCTGCCGAGGTGCCCACGGGCTGTTCACCAAACGTTGTCTTTACCCCCTTTCCCAGCTGGCACCCCACCTCCATGGAAGCAAGAAACAGCACAGAAGTATCCCAGTTCCTCCTCCTGGGCATCTCAGAGGATCCAGCACTGCAGCCTGTCCTCTTTGGCCTCTTCCTGTCCATGTACCTGGTCACCGTCCTGGGGAACCTGCTCATCATCCTGGCCGTCGGCTCCGACACCCACCTCCACACTCCCATGTACTTCTTCCTCTCCCACCTGTCCTTTGTGGACATCTGCTTCACCTCCACCACCGTCCCCAAGATGCTGGTGAACATCCAGACACAGAGAAAAGACATTTCCTACGTAGGCTGCCTCACTCAGGTGTATTTCTTTATGGTATTTGCCGGGCTGGACAACTTCCTCCTGACCGTGATGGCCTATGATCGGTATGTGGCTGTCTGCCACCCCCTGCACTACACGGCCATCATGAACCCCCAGCTCTGTGGGCTCCTGGTCCTAGTGTGTTGGTTCACCATTTCCTGGGTCTCCCTGCTTCATATTCTACTGATGGTGCGGCTGACCTTCTGTGTAGGCGCTGAAATCCCGCACTTCTTCTGTGAGCTGGGGCAGGTTCTCAAGGCGGCCTGCTCTGACGCCCTCATCAATGACATCGTCTTGTATGTGGCCACGGCTCTGCTGGGTGTGTTTCCTCTCACCGGAGTCCTGTTCTCTTACTCTCAGATCGTCTCCTCCATAGCGAGGATGGCCTCCACTGAGGGCAGGTGTAAAGCATTTTCCACCTGTGGGTCTCACCTGTCTGTGGTCTCCTTGTTCTATGGGACAGGCATGGGCGTCTCCCTCAGCGCTGCTGTGACCCATTCTCCCCAGAGGAGCTCGATTGCCTCAGTGATGTACACGGTGGTCACCCCCATGCTGAACCCCTTCATCTACAGCATGCGGAACAGGGATGTGAAGGGGGCCCTGGGAAGGCTCCTCAGCTAAATAGCCTCTTGTCAAGATGGGCCATTGACCACAGAACTGAGCAGACACTTTGGGCCCCAGAGGCACAACCACAAATTTCAATATCCTGGATCTTTACCGTCCTAAATGATGCTCCCCACTACTTCCATTTCTTATATTACCTTCTCAACAACTCCATAATTGTTGACTCTTCGCCCTCCTTGCAGCCCCTAAAGCTCTAGCCTGGTCAACTTTCTTACACCCATTCCAGAGACTTCCAGCGTTAGGTGTGAAGCACTTCTATCAAGTGCTGACACGGTTTCCCCAAAAGTTATCCTCACGTGTTCATATTCTTCACCTTAGTTTGGTTCTGTGTTGGTTTATTCCTGGAAGAAATGGAATGAAAATCACACAATCAGCATAACTAAGGTGCATATCAAGACTGCTCCTGTTTACAGTGTTTAACTTCATGTATTCCTGACCATATTTCTTTGTGGTATTTTCTCTCATTTACCTCATTTTTCAGAGAAAGAGATTGAATTTGGATAGACTTTTACCCCGAAACGTGATATCTTCATAACTTTTCTGTCATAGTTTTCATGAAAACAGTGATTTGATTATTTTCAACTTGAAGGGTAGGATCTAGATTTGAAAGCATTTATTCAGGTGATTCAGAGGAACATATTGCAGAGGAAAATGCTGAGATACCACTTCCCTCTTTTCCTTCTTTCTGTCTTCCTTCCTGCCTTCCCGCTCTACTTTCCTGGTTTTTGGACATTTATTTCCCATCATTGAATATTTACCATGTTGCCCTAAGTCCTAAAATGTATATATGAACACAATAGATTAAGACTTGTTCTCTCACATGGTTTGTGTTTGGAGGAGGGTACCCTCCGGAGATGCCACCAGGAATGGTAGGTACACTCTTCTGGGATGTATTCAGAAACTATTTCATTTTTGAAAAGATTATTGATAGGATTGAGTGCAGTGAAGGGTGGAGAAGGAGATATCAGCATTTCTGGCACATTCCACGGGATCCTTTTTCTGTCTCCAATGCATACCAGCCTGATTGACAGTGGTCATCACCAGATGGGACCTACTTTTTTTCCGCCTCCTAATTTTTTTTGTGGCTTGATGGCTTGTTTTCTTTTCATTACAGAATAATATCCCAGTTTGCACACATAGCAGTTTGTTTGCCAATTCAACTTTGAAGGATATTTGGATTGCTTCTAGTTTTTGAGAGCTTTAAATAAATCTACTACAAATATTTCTGTATAGGTTTTTCTGTGGACATAGTTTTTGAGTCATTTGGATCACTGCTGCATGACCAGATGACATGGCGATGTTGGGCCTTATAATGAGATGCCAAACCCTTATAGAAGTGTCATGCCATTTGACATTCCCACCAGCAATGAGATTCCTGTTGCTCCACATCCTTACCAGCATTTGATAGTCAGATTTTTACATTTTAGTCATTCTAATAGAAGTGCCTCTCTCTGTTTTTTTAATTTGTATCTCCCTGATGGAAACATTGAGAATCTTTTCATATGCTTATTTAACATCTGACTATCATCTTTGGTGGGGTGTCTATCCATATTTATCCCATCTTTAAATTGGGTTGTTCATTTTCTGAGTTTTTAGTAACCCCTGGGAGGTAAGATTTTGTCAACATATTTTTTTCTTTTTCTGCATCTGTTGATATGATCATAAGATTTTTCTTCTTTACCTGCTGATCTGATGGATTACATCAATTAATTTTTGAATGTTGAACCAGCCTTGCATGTCTGGAATGAATAAGTTAAACAAATACTTTTTTTCAGCATAGCTTATTTATTCAATGCTGACACTTCTGGTCTCACTGGTCCAGTCAGGGGCTGGGACGGGCAAGGCACACAGTGACACAGTGAGTGCACCATTTTCACTGGTATATGCTTCTTTTTATACATGGATTTGATTTGCGGAACTTTTTCTTGAGGATTTTTACATCTACTTTCATGGGAGATATCGGTCTGTACTTTTTCTCTTTTTGTCTGGTTTTGATACTAGGGCAATGCTGGCATCGTAATGTGAGTGAGGCAGTGTTTGCGCTGCTTCTGTTTTCAGGCAGGGATTGCAGAGAATTGGTGTTTCATCCTTACATGTTTGGTAGAATTTCCCAGTGGAACTGTCCTGCCCTGGTGCTTTCTTTTTGGAATGTCATCAACTCAATTTCTTTAATAATAATGACTTACTCAGACTATCTGTCTGTTCTTGTGTGAGTTTTTGCAGATCGGATCTTTTAGAGAATTGTCCATTTCATCTAAATTATGAAATTTGTATCATAGTGTGTTATTTATAATATTCCCTTATTATCCTTTTAATGCTATGACTCAGAAGCAATGTTCCCCATTTCATTTCTGATATTAAGGATCTCTGTCTTCCCTCATTTTTTCATGGGTGAGCTGGCTACAGTTGTATCTGTTTTATTGATTTTTACGAAGAACCAGTTTTCAGTTTTGTTGATTTTCTCTGTTCTGTTTCATTTAATTGATTCCTGCTCTAATTTTATTACTATTTTTTCTTCTGCTTGATTTGAGTTTATATCGCTCTTCTTTTCTAGTTTCTAGTTTCCCAAACTGGAAGCTTTAGGTAATTATTTTACTTCCCTCATATATATTTGGTGATATAACTTTCCACTTAGCTGATCCCATAAATTCTGTGATAAGTTGCATTTTCCTTTTCACTTCTTCACAACACTTTAGAAATGTGTTCTTTTATCTGGGACCTTCTTTTCTAAATGCATGATTGGCAGGGGCTGCAAGAAGGGAGGAATGGTGAGTGATTGTTTAAAAGGGTTCAGTTTCAAATGTGAAAAATGAAATGTTTTGGAAATGGTGGTGGTGATGGCTGCAGAATAATGTGAATGTACTTAATACCAAGTGAATAGAACTGTACACCTAAACATGTTTAACATCATAGATTTTACTATGTATATATAAGTAAATAAAATGATGAACTGGCAGAAAATGATGCAATAAAATTGAGTTATTTCCTTCATAACTTTGTCCTTTGGGCAGGACTATGGGGAGAAAGGAGGTAAAAACACAGCTCAGGGGGCAAGGTTGGAGGTGGGATGCTCATCAAAAACTTTTCTACTTGCTTCCTGCTCCTAGAAACTTTACAGTGATTATCCCATATTGATAAGACCTCACACTCATAAAATAGACTATTTCCTCCATTCACTCAAACCCATCTTTAGCTCTTTTATTTTCCCTTACTTATATTGGACACCTTGCTAAACTCTACTGACTTGCATTTTTAATGTAATGAAATTTTCTGCATATATTTTTTCTTCTTCAAATCAGAACTTGCTCTAATTTTTATGATAGCACCATACAGTCCAGGTCTTTCAACACTATTGTGGAATAGTACTGATAGCACGCATTGCTCACTTACTCAGGAATGGTTTTAAACTTTCTCAGTTTATCTTGTTTACTGTGGATTTCAGTGAGTGGCTGTAGTGGAGACAATAAAGATCTTTTACAATCTTCATTTACTTACAACTTTTATCAAAAATTGTTCCTGTGCATTTTCAAGTATATTTTATGCATCTATTCAAATAACTTTTGATATGTCAATATTTCATACATTGCTGTACAAAATACTGCATTCTTATGTAGTCAAAACAATGTGTGTTTTTTTAAAAAACATCTCTGGGTTTCCCGCTTTGCCTGAGAAGGAATCTTAAAAACTTAGATTACATACAGATTTCATTATACTATTCTTAAATTTAACACTTCTAAAGACACTTAAATCTTTAAGCTTCACTGAATGTATTATGGCATGTGGTGTGGAACAGTGGATCCAGTATTTTTTATTCTAAAATAAGGCAAACATTTGTACTTCTGATAAATTGTCCTTGGTGTATTCATTTGAAATTCTACCTTTATTCAACAGTAAATTCTTACACAAACCTCTGTCAGTATCTGTGTTCTGTCTGGTAATATATTTGCTTATGCCCACATCACACCCTTTGATTATTTTTGTGTTCTTTTAATATTTAGTGGTAAAAATATAGCTAATCTTTGTGTATCTTAACATGCTAGACGTATGCTACACATTAAATTGTTAATGCTCATAATTAACATAGGCACTATCAGAAGTTTCTCTTTTGTTTGTTTCTTGGAACAACTTTATTACATTCAATCTGCATACCATACACTTTGCCCATTTAAATCTATATGACTGAATGTGGATTAGTATATTCATAGACTTGTATAAATCATCACAATTTTATAACCTGTTCATTACCTCAAATGCAGCCTGTGGTTTTCAAACCCATCTCCTTCTTATATCCAGGCAACTACAAATCTACTGTCTCTATACATTTGCATTTTCTAGACATTTCATATAAGCAAAATCCAACACTTTTATCAATGGGTTCTTTCCACTTAGAAGTTCTCAATTTCTGTGTTGAATGTCACATATCATCTTGTCCTTTGGAGAATTTTCACATAAACATACCACTTTTTCAGCCACTGAACAACAAAAGCTGGGATCAAAAAAACTTAATTTATCTTGTGTGGCACTTATTGATGACACCATCACTAGGAATCCAAGCAGGAGAATGAGGCCATTCCACAGTAGTCACCTGAAATGCTACCAGGTCTCAGACTCGGGCAACTGGCGACTAATTCTGGTAGGAACCATAGGTCTTATTTCAGATAATCAGGATCTCATCTAAAGCCAATCTATGACCCCTCCAACACACACCAAAAGGGGAGACTGATCTGATCCCTGGCATCATTGCCAATAATTAGAGGGTAATCAATGGGCTAAAATATACATACCCAAAAGTAGCCACATGACATACTCTACACATACAAGTCTGTAACACAAAGGTGCACAGATAATTCCTGAACACTATTTATTGTGAACTTGATTCGGATTATCATTAGTTTGATTAAACCTCAAGAAAGTGTCATCAAGCAGCTTCAAGACTGATGGCCATACCTGACATAGTCCAAGACTGCCTGAGCATCAGAACTATGTGAACTTGCACCACTGGAGATAAAATGAAGTTGTGCTGATGTGTCTGCATCTAGAGTTCACACTCAGGAACAGCCAGTAGATCATCAAGTATAGTAGATTATCAGGAACAGCTGTACTCACACAAGTCTGTTTTTACAGCAAAGGAAGGAATGACAAATACAGAAGCAAGTGGTATAACCAGCAACACATGTTGCTTGACCCTGACAAATATAACTGTTTTGCCAGGCTGTGATGTTGGGTTTATGGGTGAAAAAAAATCATTCTTATTATTCTCTCCTTCATCACACATGCCTTGAGGTTAAAAGTACAAGGTAAGTTTACCAAATTTAGAGATGTATATCCCAACCTTTGGTACACCTCACTGTAACTGAACTCAGTGAGTGCTGTACACAGTGAAGTGGTCAATGTCTTCAAAATGTATGCCCACATCAATCCAACGAGAGAACACAGGTGGTTAGAGGAGGATTAAGTGTGAATCCTGTTCATCTACTTTTGGCCAGGTAGTAACCTGCAAAGTGTAGCCACTAGACTAGTCTGGCCTGGATATCTGGGAAAAGACATTATATCTCAGGAAGTTCAGAACAGAATGACAAATATTCAATGTATCTACAGGGCCACCCAGAATGCTATGCCTGTCTCACAAAATCCTGGGATTTATATTTGGTATGATTGCCCATATTTCCTAAATTAGGTTTCTCTTAACTAAGAATCACCCCATGTTTGAGGACGAAGAACAATCAAATAGAAAATAAAGATGGCTCTGACACACTTCTTACATTCATAAAGTTTTCTTTCACAGTGATATGACAAGCAAACAGTAAAGGTAACTGCAAGTACTGTTTTGCCACATATTACATCAACAGAGTTCTGTACTATAGATCTCCACATTCATGGAATTTATTTCACTAATGAAATAGTAAAGGGCTTCCCATGTTTCTGACTACTATGGCTTCCCTGTTACCTGACACTCTGGGCTGTGACACTGATGGATTTCCCATATTTCTTACATTTATAGACCATGTCTCCAGTACAGCCCTTGCAGGTTTCAAAGTGAATAGGTATTACTTAGTTTTTTGCCACATTCCTTATATTGCCAGGACTTCTCTCCAGGGTCTTTTTTCATCACACTGAAAGGATCTTGAAGAATAAAAGGCTTTGTCACACTCTTAACATTTACAGACTTTCCCTACGGGGGCAGATTTTCATGTATCTAAAATGAATTGGTATAACTGAAGGCTTTCACACACTGTGTACAATCTGGATTACTCTCTGTGAGTTCTTACATGTCTTGAAAGGTATGAGCCCTGAGTGAAGGCTTTCCCACATTCCTCACATTTATATGGTTTCCCTCCACTATG